CCCCCTCCCAATCCCCTGGACGTCAAGGCGAACAAACTGGTCAGCCCTAGAGGAGATCAACCCTGACTACTCTTCACAAGGCCAACACTTTTCTGATTATATCTAGCTCTGATGATCAGCCACCTCATTCTCTGTTGTCCCCTTCTTTTTTTGTCCTCATTGTTCCCAGCATTAGGCTTTTCTTCAGTGAGTCCTTCCTTCTCATTTGGTGGCCAAAGTATTTGAGTTTCATCTTCAGGATCTGGCCTTGTGAAGAGTAGTCAGGGTTGATCTCCTCTAGGACTGACCAGTTTGATCGCCTTGCAGTCCAAGGGATTCGCAGGAGTCTTCTCCAGCACCATAGTTCAAAGACCTCAATTCTTTGGCGCTCAGGCTTTCTTATGGTCTTTCATAGCCATACATCACAACTGGGAAAACCATAGCCTTCATTAATCACACTTTTGTTGGCAGGGTGATGTTCCTGCTTTTTTAGTATGCTGTCTAGATTGGTATCATCTGCATATCTAGATTGTTGAAATATTAGTTTTGTTAATTAAGAATGTTATATTTTAATTTTTTAGGATCTTTTATGTTTCAGGAACATAAAAGTACCTAAAACAGGAGATTTTCTAAAACAGAAAATCTAATACTTTCTCTCTAGTATTACTATTTTATTACCATTAGTAAAATAATTTATTGTTTGACATGCTTGCTTTTAATATACAAACAATTTCTTGCCTATGATTTAGTCTGCTGGTTCAGTATAATGATGTATAAATGTATTTTTATTATTTGAAATGCAGTTTATATAAAAACTTTTACTATATTTTAGACAGCAGAATCTATTGCAGAATCTATTGCTCTTTTCCATAAATAAATATTGATTATACAAAAAATTAGTTCACAAATTATTTTACAGCAGGGAAACTAATAACAAAATGATTGTTATTTTTATGATATAAGTTTAAATATTCATTTAAATATTAATTAACTACTTACTTTCAACAATTATATCATTTAAGAGCATACAGAATTTGGACAATCAGTTCATGTAAATAATGCAGATAGATGTTTGAGTTTACATGCTCTGATCCATCTATTGTTAAATTTTGTGTGTGTGTGCCTTCAAGTAAGTATTCACTCCTGGCAACTGCCTAAATTAATCCCTGCAATTTTGTTGGCAAGATTTAAGAAGTGGCTTGCCATCTTCTTCTTCCTAAAGCTGAAAAAGAGTGATTGGCCCAAAGCTATCCTGCTGTCTTTGTTCCTAAGCAGGATGAGAACTCACCCAATTTCTAGCCTGGTACCTTAATCATTATACCAAATTGTTTCTCAAGCTCATTTTAAATGTAGCTAAAAGCTAGAAAATACTGCCATCTTAAGGCCTTTATATTTTTATATAATTGCTGTATTTACCATTTACCAATATTCTGTTATTTTCATTCAATGGTTCATAGACTGAAATAGATCTATGCACTATGTACTATTACAATTATGGGTTCATGTGCACCATGATTTTTAATGTAAGTTCAGGTTGGATATCTCAAAAATGCTTTTTAAAGAGGTGATTGACTTTCTGGTTATTCTTTAAAGACGTTTTGCTTCTCATCCAGGAAGCTTCTTCAGCTCTGACAGCTGACAGCTCAGGAGGATCTTCAGCCAATATAATATACATGCACACTTCAAACCCAAGACTAAGGTAGAAACTTATCCATCTCAAAGATAAAACACCCATACATAAATTGAGAAACTTAGTATATGCAGTACAATGCAGTGAGCCATATGCAGATCTGTACATTGGGGAAAGAAAACAACCACTTCATAAGTGCATGACACAATATCAGAGAACAAACACATCAGGACTAAATTCGGCATTTAAAGACACAGGACACTCATTTCAAGACAGCAAAGTCCACATTTTGGACAGAGAAGACCACTGGTTTGAAAGATGGATCAAAGAGGTTCTCAATGTCAAAATTGAACAACCTTCTCTCAACAGAGGGGGAGGTATATGACATCACCTATCTCCAACCTACAACACTGTCCTTTCAACAGGTCCAAAAAGGTTCCACTCCAATTTGCACCACTCAGGTGATCCTGATGACATAGATAAATCTCTAGGTGACCTTAACAACTCACTAAAATAATGCAAATGTGCAGCTGTCTGCAAGGAGTATAAATCCTTCCATTCCCCACCATCCAGGTCAGAGCTGAAGAAGCTTCTTGGACAAGAAGTGAAACATCTTCAAAGAAAAACCAGAAAGTCCAGCCACCTCTTTAAAAGCACCTTTGGGACAACCATGACCTGGATGACTGAGAATCTCCATAGATATTCAGGTAGGATAAAGATTAACATCATGTTGGTAGTTCAATATTATTTTCCACTATGATATTATATATGAATTAAACAATTTTTCTGATTATTTTTTGAGAAAATGTTAAAAATATCTACATTAATAAAGCGTCTTGTCAGATCTGTGAATCTGCAATTCTTCAAGGAAAGAGAGGGGCCCTAAAGTTCCTCTACACTTTTCTATCCTTCTTTCCTATATATCCTCTACCATGTAATTAATTGCTTTATAATTTCTAGCCTGGTGCCTAGAGGCCTGGCACTTTCTCACCTTTCAAGGAATGGGTGGGGAGGGAGGGCCATGTGGACTGCATCACTCAGGAAGCAAGCCTGAGAAAGTCTTCTTATCACTGTCCCAGAGCGTCCCTTACAAAAAACATCTTCACACCTGCAGATTGGGCAAATCCATATCGGATGGTTGGGTGGGGATTCTAACTTCTTTTATTCCTATTGTATTGCCTTAAGGACCCCAGATCCTGCTTTGCTTTCACCCAGTTATCACTTCTTTTTCAATAAAAAAGGAACATTTTGAAATGCAAAGTTTCAAGACTCTTTACTTCCTTGATTAAGGGGGAGAGGCTCGGTCTTATACTTCTACAACTTCTACAACTTTACCATTATTTACCATTTGATTAAAACCATTAACAGGTTATTTTAATTTTTTTTCTGATTCTAAGTATAGCAAGTCTTGAGATTAAGAATGAATTCTGTTCCAGGTCTCTTCTTAAGCTGAGTTTGTATGTAAACTAAAACAAATTATTTATAAGATATAAATAAGAAACAGCTAAACATTCTAACTGTTATAAATTCAGTATAACTACTAATACTAATCGGCAAACTTAAAACACTCAAAGAGTCACAAAGGTCCTAACCAAAAGCCCTGTGTTCAATTATGGAGCTGACCAGAAGTCCAGTNAGCCTTCCATCCTTCTGAGGTGGGTGAAATGAGGACCCAGACTGTGGGGGCGATATGCTGATTCTGTAAACTGCTTAGAGAGGGCTGAAAGCCCTATGAAGCAGTATATAAGTCTAACTGCTATTGCTATAATGTGCTCTAAGTTCAAAAGTTTACTTGAAAACCCACAGGGCAAATCTGTGATACAATTATGTTCATGTACAAAGAATCAACTAGCCTTTAAAAAATAATTTTCAAAGGTTTGCATTTGTTACCTTTAGAATATTGGCTCTCTGTTGAGGGTTCTGGGTTTCAGATTCATCCAAGAGTATTTCGGTTTGATATATCCATGTGGTGATATTAGCAACATTTTGAAAAAATGTTTCCATATGTTTCTGATATGTCTAGAAGTAGGTAAAGAGAAACCAACATGTTACTAAACAATTAGGATCAAAGGGAAACAGAAAAAAATGCATTACTACATAAATTATTATATTATCAAAGTACAAAAACTATAAACGCAGTTCCATGAAACTAACTTTAGAACTGAAAAAATAAGGTTTAAATACTGGGTAAAATCAGAAAAAAATTATAACTTAGTTCTAATTCTTTACAAAGTTACATATAAAGGGAGAGATGAAGCAAAGAGAGCTGTCCATTTGTTGGAATGATATAGACATTGGGATCCAAAGTGAGCTAAAAAATCAATACAGGTAATTCCTGGGTTATGAGCATTTCCTTAGTAAACATTCGAAGTTATGCAATCAGTGTTTCCAAACAAGCCCTGAAACTATGAATCTTGCAGTACCATGGCAGTTGTTCGCCCTTATGAACAACTGCAGAGGCTCTGCAACATTCTTCCTGCATGTTCCTGGCCAAACTTCTGAGGGGCAGATCCACTCCTCAAAAGCCCTGTTTGACCATCCAGAGGCCTTGACTGGCAACTTGCTGGCCGAAATGGAGCTTTGATGGGGCAGATACACCTCTCAGAAGCCCCATTCAACCTTTAATGGGCTGGCCAAACAGAGATGGCTAAACAGGGCTTCTAAGGAGCACATCTGCCCCTTAGAAGCTCCATTCAATCATTCAGAGGCCTCACACAGAATCTTGCTGGCCGAAATTGAGGTTCTATGAGGCAGATCTGCCTCTCAGAAGCCCTGTTTGGCCTGTGATCAGGGCTTCTGAGACTCAGATCCAGTCCCTGGATGCTCCATTTCAGCCTGCAAATGGGCCGGAGTAAGCTCACAGAGGGGCAGAGCCTTGGAGAGCCAGATCCCACCCACAGAGATTTGAATACGGCCCCCAGAGGCTCCATTTCGGCTTGCAATGGGCTGGGGTAGGCCTGTGGAGGGCCAAAATGTGCCTCAGAGGGCCAGTTCTAACCCCCAGAGGTTCTATACTGGCCTGCAATGGGCCTTGGGAGGCCTAGGGAGGGCCGAATGGAACACATGAGGCTGGAGAGGTGTCTGCTTTCTAGATATTCACAAGATAAGTGACCCAGTGTGGCAGCTTGGGTGGAAAACAATTTGAGCCAGCATGAAGTATTTTAGTGGGTCATGGAGGCCTTGGATGGTCTTAGGCAGTTGGCCTATTCCATCGGTAGGTCTCCCCAATGGCCTTCCCCACTCTGAAATATCCCATGTGCACTTAATGAGCCTCACATTTGATTAGTAAATGCATGGGTGAAAGGAGGGAGTGAATTTGTTCAAGATACAAGATTCACTCCCATGAATCCTTGGGTTATGAATGGAATGGGCAAGCTCCATTACATTCATAACTTGAAGACTACCTGTAGCCACTTTTATTAAAAAATGTATATTCCTGCAGTGCAAGGAAAGCAATTTAAAAACTATGCCATAACATTAATTTAGGAATCTTTAAAATTATTATATAATTACTAATATAATTTTTCTAGAATTAATAAATGAAAAATGTGCAGCAATTTTTAGAATATAGAGATTTTTTTTAAAAAAATAGCGCTCTCTTAGTTACAAACACAAAATTGATATCTATCATTGTGATTTTAAAGGCAAGTCTTTATTATAAAAAATAAGACATAAATCACTTGGGAACTCTGTCTAAAAAACTAAAAAAGTGATGTTCCATCTCTGGGATCATCAAAGTAGGGAAGTACTAATTGGTAACTCTTACCAGCAGCCAATTAAGCCATTCCTCAGCTCGTGAAGTTACTGCAATCCAGTTACTACTAAGAAGGCTGAGTTTATCATTCACCAATCTTTCTTTCCCTTTAAGCACCATCTTCAGTCCCTCTCCCATGTCAGTGATAATCTTCAGCTGATGCTGTCTTTTTTCAGTCTCTAACTGTGTTCCCTGTGGAAAGTACATATGGAATGCATAACAGTAAATGTGAAGACAATGACGCTGAAATTTGTATTATGCATAACAGTATTGCCGTTCATATATTGGAACACTTTGTGTATTAAAATAAATTGAAAGAGAACTAAATCTGCATTAATAGTGAATATAATAATGGAGCACCCTAAAGCATTACAACTAATCAAGCAGCTAATGATAAATATGTTAAGAATTTGTTGATCGTGCCTCCACAAAATGGCTGTTATACAGCAACGGCCTTTTCCCTCTCTTGCCAATGATCTGCTGTTTTTGCTGACAAAGCTGCTTCTCTGGCAGTGCCTGCTGCCTGGATCTGAATGGGAGCAGTTAGGAATGACCCAAGATGATTTTTGGATGGCTGTGAATCCTCTTGGGAAGGGAGTTTTGAAGATTCCAGTTCCCTGTGGGAGCAGTCAGAAAGTCACTGGGCAAATCTATCTTCCTTTCTAAGCAAGCCTGGGTTTTAACTTTTAACCCCCTGCTGAACTCTATTAAAATTAGCTCTTTTAAAGTTTATTATATTTAATTAGACAATAATTGATAAGAGATACCATTAAGAAACAAATGTGGGGGAAACCAGAAGCATTGTGGCAAGACTGGTTGGAAAATAGCGAGCAATGCCAAGTTTTGTGAAAATCCAGCCTGACAAACTGTTGTTGAGAGGTCTTCAGACGGGAACCATCTTGGAGGGATGGGGAAGGAAAAAAGATTTCTCAGACAATCAAGAAGAACCAGCAGTTCCTCGGTAGGTCAGAGAAAAAGCTCTTCAAACTGGCAGCAGTGGCGGCGGCCATAACTAAATGACTGCCACAAAGCTGGGGCATCCGGATTAAGCTATTTGTGCTGGAACGGTGTTGGGATGGAGTGTTGAAACCAGGTGAGTCAACTCACAGGTAAAAAGAAAATCTGATTTAAATCTTAAAAAGGATCCCGAAGTGGAATTAGCGGCTAACTGGCTTTTGGGGAATTTTATTGAAGAAAAAGGAGGCAGCGGAGGTTAAAATACCAAAGCCTCAGATGATTTTGTCTTCTGCAGTTTGGAAGTGAAGAAACTAAATAACAAAAAGAAAGAGCCCAGGGGGAAGTCCCTTTTCTCCTTATTTTATTTTATTGATTTAAAGCACTTTTGATAACTATTGACAGTCAGCTGTTGGACATCTACCAGCGAGCAGAAAGTACTATGCCAGCTAGTGAAAGAAAGAAAGTGAAAGTGCAGCTGTGAAGTGTGACCTTGGCTCCAGGAAGAGATACTAACCCTAACCCTAACCTTCAACTTGGACTGGACTGGACTAATACTAAAATTGAGCATATAGAATTTAGAAGATCCTAAATGTGTAATTAAATATGGTATAACCCCAAAATTTAAAAATCTGTACAAATAGCTAAATTTGTATTATGGGGAGTTTGATGTATGAAGAATTATTTGGGATGCTGAAAAGTGCATGTGAAATGTCAATTGGTAAAAAAAAAGATAGAAAATCAAAGGGAGCACATAGAGAAGAAATAGGAGAAGAGGTGGTAAAAGAGGGCACAAATGGGGAATAGGAAGTTAATATGGAAGAAAGAAGAATTGAAAATAAAATGCAGATAGATGATTTCACTGAAATTTACAGTCACAAAAAAAACCTAAGGGGGAGATTCCCCCCTCCCCCCCAAAAATCACAAAACAGTAAGGAATGGAGGAGAACAGGGAAAACTCTGGGGGAAATTACTAGAATAATAAAATTAAATACTAAAGATAGTATAGTATTAAATAAAAAGATACAATAACCATAAAAATATGAAAAGGAAGAAGTTAGGAGAAAGGGGGAGAAGAAGAAAAATGATTAAAAGTGGAATTCTTGAGAACCCAAGAGAAAATGGTTAAAAGAGGAAGAAATGAAAAAAAAGTTACATTAGTACACTAAAGGGACTAGTAGTAAGTTTGTTATTGTGATGTTACTAATTAAGAAATTATAGCATATTGTCAATTGTGGATAAAAAATTGAAAGAAAAGTTGTCTATGTTAAAATTGAATGTTGTTTATAGTAAAATAGACCAATGGAGAAAATATAAAATGATAATTTGGTGTAACTTTGAAGGGGCAATTGAAGATACTGTTTATGTATGAAGAAAAAATAAGTATAAAGATGAAAAATAAAGAAAGAGAATAATTTGGCTGAAAGTGAAAAGAGAACTATGATGTAAAATGGATTGTATTAATGAGAGGATGTTAAAGAAAAGACCCAGACAACACTTTGTTTATATAATAGGTGTAAGTTTGTATTAAAAAAATAAAAACCTTGAAACAGAAAAAAAAGAAACAAATGTTTTGCCAGGAATAGGAACCAATACTGTAGTAATGTATTAATGTATTAATCAATTAATAACATTTGTATATTGTTTTTTCTTTTCAATGCACTTTTTTAAAGTCTTGATTTATTATTATTATTATTTTGGAGTTTTGCATTTTAACTTCCCTTTGAATAAAATAAAAAATAGAAAAAATGTTGATCACTTCTAGATTACTTAGATTTAAAATTTATTAAAAAATATTATATATTTAAGACCCCTCTCAGATTCTTGCTTTTAATGACTGCTAAGCAGTTTAAAAACCAAGTTGAAACAAAAATTTTAATTCAGTTAAGAAAAATAAAGTATGTAAAATATATGAAAAACACTTTTTTTCTTTAACAAGATGTATTTTGTAATGAAATGCACCTTAAAAGAAAAAAAAGGTGGTGAAATGCACCTTATATAAGTAAAGTTAAAAATCATGCCAAGTCATTTGTTTATGATATAATGACATAATTTTGTATGAAGTATATTCAATTCTGAATATGAATTCACATAAAATAGTCATCATATAAAAAAGTAAAATAGCAAAGATATATTTGTTAATAAACTTAATAAACAACAGAAAAGGTCACAAATCATTTATATAAGACAATCCTTGCTGTTTTTTTTCTCTCAAGAAGCCCCACTGTGGAGTAAGAGAGTCCAGGGATCTAGCATCCTTTGCCTGCTTGAAGTCTATAGCATGCCCCCCTGCAGCAATCCCCACTTGAGCACAGTCCCTACAGGTCTGCCCACATTTATAATGCATTTTACAGCACCCATCTGCACAATCCCCATGTTATCCACACACTCACAAATTCTAGTAAATAAGTTGTATATCATCTTAATTTAAAATAAACAAAAATGAAAATAAGGATATAATTGAATAACAGTTTCAAAAAGTATGCTTGATTATTTTTGCTATGAAATTCTTTTGTTTGCCTAGAGCAGGCCTAGAGTTTGCCTAGAGCCGGACACTTTGGGTTTGTAAAGACCCTACACCTTGTCAAGAGGCAATTTTGATGGCCCTCATTGAAAAAAGACATTGAATCCTATGTGGCTAGTTGCCCCACTTGTGCTGTAGCAAAACGCCCACCGGGTAAACCCCAGGGGTTGCTCCAGCCGGTAGCCCACCCTGGAGCACTGTGGAAGGAGATCTCTATGGATTTCATTGTTGAAATTCCAGAGAGTCAGGAGAATACAGTGATTTGGGTTGTCACTCACTTATTCTCCAAGCAAGTTCATTTTATTCCTTGTTCCAAGATCCTGTCCGCCAAATCCCTGGCTAAGTTGTTCATCACACATGTCTATCGCTTACATGGGGTTCCGGACCACATCATTTCGGATAGGGGGGTCCAGTTCACCTTGTTGTTTTGGAAGGAGTTCCTGAAGTTGATTGGCTCTGCCCAGGGCTTGAGCTCCGCCCACCACCCTCAGACTAATAGGGCCTGCGAGAGGACCAATTCAGTGCTGGAACAATATCTTCGCTGTTTCATCAACTACCAGCAAGATAATTGGGTGAAATTGAAAAGAGCCAAGGTGGTGCAGTGGTTAAATGCAGCACTGCAGGCTACTGCTAGATCAGCAG